AATACAAAAAAATAGTAGAATTATCAAATGCAGATGTTCCATATTGGAACCTCTCTCTCTATTTTTCATTTTGATTTAGAAAAAGCTTTAAGGCGTTTTCGGGACTTTTTTTACGCTACGCTGTAAAAAGCTAAAAGCTTTTTAAGGCGTACTTGAATTCCGTTATTTTTAACTATTCTTTCGTGGTTGACATAATTTCGATAAGTCAGTATTCAAAGCAGTGTACTCATATTAAAATTTGGAATATATAAAATGGTGGAAATAAAGAAATAAAGTCTACGCTGTTGTATTTTGAATTTGTTTTTTAAAATAAAATTAACGTTATTTATTTGGTCGGTTTTTCAATGTACTTATCGCTTTCTAATAAACACATTTGCGCTCTTTTTTATTTTCTCTATATTATTATCTTCTAGAGAATGTCCACAGCGTTTCTTTTAAGAACAGATTATTTAAATAGTTTTGTGAATTTTTGTATACATATGATATTCAGGGTGGCAATTGGCTTATCTCCACATTATATTTTGCCTTTATTTAATTAAAGTTTGTTTTTTTTTTTGGAAAGGCATTGAACTAGTTAAAAATTTCGTTAATTTATTAGTCGCTAATCGAATTTGTAATGCTTTCTCTACGACAAAATATATAGGTAGACAATTTTTATGTAATATTTAAAGTCATTGTTGTAACTAACCTTCATGGCGAAGAAATAAATCTTACTTTATACAGGGTGATTCACAACTTATCCAAAAAAAAATATCGTAATTTTTTTTTTGTAAAATCCTCATAGTTGTAGAATTTCCAAGCTTTACATCGCTAGGCTACTGTAGTCTAGCGTCATTCGCGTTTTGCGCTATGCGCAATGCGCTCTCTCCCCACGTGGTCTAAGGCGATTCCGAATACCGAAATCCGATGTTAGTATTAACGTTTTTGTGATAGTGTTTACATTAGTTTTTCAAGTGTCAAAAATGGCTTACGTGTATAGCAACACTGAGTTGATGGATATCGTTTTAATTTATGGTGAAGCAAGACAACATTTGTGTTAGTTGGTAGAAACTGGGTGAGATAGACCCAAATGTGTTACCAGGTCAGTGGACAAAATTTTGAATAGTTGTTGTAACATTAGGTATGTCAAATTATTTTATTAATTAAAACCTCAAAAATTAATTTTATTAATTAATAATAACAATAGAGGCAAATTGATTTTTTTTGTGGATAAATTCTAAAACATCCTGTATACTAGACTAAAAATGTTTTACAAAAAAAACGTGGTGCTGACATTTGGCACGAACAAAAATTATGCAAATCTAGAACCAACAAAAAAAATAGCAAGAAATTTCCACTTACAAATTAACAGGACTTTCTCGCACATTTTTAAATTCACATAGAATAAATACTTTTTTATATATACAGTGTCCCATACTGTAACCATTCGATTTTCACATAAGTTATTTATGTAACTAATGCAAAAATTACGTGTTTTTGGCACGTGAAATTGTTAAACGAGGCGAAGGCCGAATTTGACGATACCAATAGTGCTAAAATATTTCTAAATAAATCTTACTTACATGACAATGTAACTTGAATTCTGTGCAGAAATATATCTTTCAAAAAGAATAATTTTTTAAGCTCTCCAGTCCATTTCATTAATAGAAAGAGGAAAATTTAAGCAAAAGAGTGAGGGTCAAGTGGACGACTAGGCAAGCACCAACTAAATTAAAAGGCGCAGATTCTGCAAAAGGTTAAAGCGACCCCAAGTCCGTGTACCAGAATAATAGCCACTTAAAGAGGATGATGAAGGTGGTGGTATTAATTACTTTAATGGGAATCGAGTCATTAAAGAACAATTACTATACTCGTGTACCATGTACAAAAGCTGCATGCGCTTCTACCTCTGCATTTCGACGCAAGAACAATTTTTTGGAAACCGGATATGCCAACACAGTCAGAGATCCTCCTTTTATTGATTTATTTCTTGATGGGGAAATGTGTACGCACAATGGAATTACTATTCTTCATAATAGCCACTTATGAATGGAAGAGAATCCAGCAGCAGTCATAGAGGTACACCAATAAGTGAATTTTAAAGTCAATGAAAAAAAATCGGTGTTCTTAATTCAAGAATTTAGGATATCTGTATTAGCATATCAGTCATATTATGATCTAGGATGAAGTAAATTCTTTTTCAAAGTTTTTCTGGATTATCTTCAGTACCACTCACATAATAAAAGTGTAGATCCCTAGATCTGGGCGAGGTCCGGAACATCTTCAAAATTGCAAAAATGTTTAAAAAATTTAAAAAAATATCTATTTTTTCACAGTTTTTTACTTATATTTTGGAACCTATGCATTTTGGAAGAATATTGAAGAGGAAGAAAAGTTTTAGAATTGAATTTTGCACAATATACTGCAAGTTAAAAATGTTTAAATTGATTAGCGATGTTTTGAAAACAGCAATAATTGATGAAAAACAGGCAAAATAATGAAGTTTTTTGGATAATTTTTTAAAATATTTTAATTGCTCCGAAGGCATTCTAATGTTGGTAAAAAAACTTTAGAGTATAATAAAACAACACACCAAATTTCATTAAAATCGGTTCGATAGTTTTCGCAAAATAATTTTTTGAAAAATATTTGGAAACAAATTTTCGAATTTTCAAAATGTTGCAGAGATTCAAATGAAGCATCTAGATACTTTCACATAGAAAAGACCGCTCAACCTTTCAAATGGTTATTGAAAAATTTAAATCGGTTATATTTTTATATTTTTTATATTTTTTAAACAATTAGATTAGGTACATTTATCAATTAGCAATTGAGTTTTTTTCAAAAATTATAATTTTAAAGTACTATTTTTACTTAATTTTATCTGTATTTAACAAAAAAGTTAATTTCCAAATATTTTTTTAAATTTGTTTAAACAAAAATTATTTAAATAATTGTAATAATTATAATTAAATACATTCATATTCAGTGTTGAAATACATATATACGTAAACAAATTTTTTCATAATAGCATAGGGTAAAATATACAGTATATTTAATGCATAAATAATAAACTTTGTTTATAACAAAATATGTGCAAATTAGACAGTTGTCATTACGATGTTCGAATTCCTTGGCTCGATCGAAATTGATCCATTAGAAACCGAGATAATGCAATTTTTTTCGTATGGATATGAAAATTTTTTCCAACTTAGAATGTGGAAAAACGATGCCACTGGATCAAAGATTATTGCTAAATTGTTTATAAATTAACGGTAAATGCCGCTTATATCTCGAGAACCAATAAAGGGAATTTAACTTTTTTTTAAAAGAAGCGTCTTTCCGAGTACTTTAAAATTATAATTTTTGAAAAAAAAAAAATTACAAATTGATAATGTAACCTAATTGTTTAAAAATAAAAAAAGTGAACTTTAAAAATTTACAGTGGCCGTCCTAATCAACCGATTTCAATTTTTCAAAAACCATTTGAACCGTTGAGCGGTCTTTTCTACGTGAAAAAATTTTCAAGTATCTAGATGCTTTATTTGAGGCTGTGCAACATTTTGAAAATTCGAACATTTTTTTACAAAATTTTTTTCAAAAAATTATTTTGCGAAAACTATGGAACCGATTTTAATGAAATTTGGTGTGTTGTTCTATTATACTCTAAAATTTTGTTTACCAAAATTAGAATGCCCTGGAAGCAATATCAAATATTTAAAAAAAAATTATCCAACAAACTTGATTATTTTGCCTTTTTTAATCAATTATTGCTATTTTGCAACATCGGTAGTAAATTTAAATATTTTTTCCTTTTCAATATTCTTCCAAAATGCATAGGTCCCAAGATATAAGTAAATAACTCAGATAAAATAGGTATTTTTTAAACATTTTTTTCTTTGTAAATACTTGTGCTTTAAAGAACACTGTTTCTTAAAGGGGGGTTTATATGAGCAATTTTTTGTACAGCATTTTAGAAAATCTAACCAAGTTGGAAACAATATCTCTTCACCATACTAGGTTATATAAGTTTTCTTTAGGGTATAAGACAACTGACAATACATTCAAAATAAGGAAAAAACATATTTTGACTTCGCGTTTATCTAACCTAACGTTTTCTGAATTTTGCACGCCCGTTGAACACAAGAAAAAAGAAGTAGCTCTAGTTTATTGTTACGTTTCGTCGCTTCCTGGATGGATCTACCATTGTTACTAAATTCATTGTTTCTATCATTATTTTACTAAAAGTGCAATTTCTTGTTTATAAAGCCCACCCTTAAGAATTCCAAATTCTAATCATAGTTTAATGTAAAACTGAAGATAATAATTCGATCACATAACTAAAGGTTTTGTTATAATTTTGGAAACCAAGTCTAAATTAAAATTTCACAAGAGTGATAATAAATTAGGACAATTATCATTTTATCTAAAACCATAGTTGTCCGTGAAACGGTATAACCTAAACTTGTGCAAAGTTCGAAAACAACAGAGTTATGAATAAAAATTGTTTTTAAAATCTTAACTTTAACAGCCCAATAATGGAGAACCCAATGAAAGATGATATAATAACATTATCATTAGTTTTACTCAAGTAATCTGTGGTTAACGGTTTGTCCTACCAATTTGTTACACCCTGTATACTTTTAAAGAAAACGCACTACTTTTAAAGTTTACCATTAAAAATTTTGATTCTTTAGTTTCATAATTCAAATTAAAATCGTGTATTTTCTCTAATTCTGATTCACTTGACGGGAATAGTTGATTTTGTAACGAATATCATTTCCCAAACAAAAGAAGGCGCGACCGCACTACACACATTCATGATTTGACTCAAAACTGACTAATTCCGACCATAGGCGGAACCGGATCGACTTGCGTAAAGGCGCCTTCGCTCCGGCGTGATCTCCAGCAGATAACAGCAGATATGACTAACTGGTCTCCGATCGAGGGAAAGTAAAAGTCTCCCCCGGACCCCCCCTGAGGTTGTCATGTGCGAAAAGAACCGCTGGGACACGCGACTGGACCGTAGTGAAACCGGAGGAATCCGTCTTCTCGGGCCAGTTCTTCGAGAACGTCCTGGTGGTGCGGTCAACGCGAACAGCCGTGCTCTGTGTGATAGTACTTGGTGTGTTTTTACTTGGATGTGAGTATCTTGGCGTTCCGGCTGGGTAACGTATAGCTACATATTTATTTTCGTGAAAAAAAAATTGTCGGAGACTTTTTAACTCTTCCGATTTTTATTTGGTTGACAGTTGTGACATACTATCTTAAAATTAGGTTTATAATAAACTGGTTACAATCAATGAAATTTTCTTATAACTATACGGAACGTTCCAAAAATACCCTTCAGGATTTCTAGCAAATAAGAAAGGAAAATTACGAAGGTTCGGAAAATACAGGGTTAAATTTGACAAACCGAAAAGCTAATTTCCTGGTAAAATGGTCTTTATAGAAATGACACAACAATGGGTACTTACGTCTTTTAAAAAATGCACCACACAATCAATTTGTATTTTGCATTTTAACCCTTGATGGATAAAATATTTTATATACAAGGTGTCGCTAAGGCTCAAAATTTTAACCGGCACTTCAACTCATCAAAAACAATAAATTTTGAGCTGTCTATAAATTAATGACGTACCTAAAAGACTTAAAAAAAATGGAAAACGGCTTTGCTTTTGATAAATTAAATGATTAAAATGTTGTACCTCTATTTCTGGGACACCACGTGCTTACTGACAACGAAGGCATTTTGTAATATTTCCATTTCCTCATAAACCAAATTTTACAGCAATGTGAGTGACATACGTATTTTTGTTTTGACAAACTAAACGGGATAATTTTTTTTTTTTCTTTAAAAAATTACGGAAATTTAAAAAAAATATGAATTTGTAGTAAAAGAATGCAATTGCATAACAATTTCTCGAATTTGGTCACCTTGAAATACATCTTTGAAGATGGTGATATGAGAATCATAAACTTCATATTAAAGTTAATTTTATTAATTCATTTCTCATCATTTTCCATTAACTTCAACACCTTGTTTCAATAATGAGTTATTTTCGAAAACCTTATACTATTTTATATTTTCTCTCGATAAAATACCGAACCATATGTTTGAAACAACCCGTATAATATAATGTCTTAATAAAGTTGTTATTAGTACGACAAAACTGTACAAAACAAACTCAGTTTTTAACTCGGTCCAAATTTCTTGTTAAATTAATTAATATTTCTTATATGAACTCAAGAAATTTGTTAAAAAATTGAACGTATTTCTGTGACAGGACATTGAACATGAAAGTATAAGGTAAATGTTTTAAGAAACTGAAAGTGATAGAAAAACCAAAAATCCGCAATAAGTGAAAAAAATTCAAATGGCAAAGAATTGTTGTCTCTTTTTACGCATGAATTTTGTTTAATTATTTGGAAACGCAATACATTTTACACTTATTTTAGTATGTTAATTTCTAAATAATTTATAGTACTTATTAAAAAATCAGGAAGTTTCTATTCTAATTCACCATTCAAATAAAAGGAACAGCGTATCTTATTTGAAAAATATCCGTTTGGGACAGAGAAACGAGACTATTTTTAAAAGTTTAATATTTTAATAATGAGAATTGGATTAACTAAAAATTAGAATATTTCAACATTGGTGCTGGATAAACATTTATGGATTATTATTAATCTTCTAGATTTAGGAAATGTTTCTATTGTTTTATAACTCACGCTTTTCTTGTTCCTATGTTTCTCCATATCTTAAAAATATTTAAACATGACTGAAAATTGAACTTGAAAAATTATACGTCCATTTAATTTTCCATTATTTACTACCTAACAATGAAATAGTTTCATAATGCGAAACATAAGAAAAGCCACTTTTTTCCTAACCGTTTTGGAGAAATTTAATTGCACATAACTAACGTAATTACTTAAACAGTACGAATGAATTTAACATAATTTAAGTAATCGTGGTGACTTGCCATAAATATTTAAAGACAACGCAATCCGTTTCATAAGTTTTCCTGGTTTCTTTATGCATTGTTTTGTTTGTAATACCGACAATTTCGAAGACAGTAAAATTATGAACACAATCGGCGATTCTGACTACAAAAATTTTACTAAGTAGATACTGTTTTTGTTTAATAAAATATATCGCAGTAAGGCCGTTCAACTTGTTAGAATATTCAAATCGCTGCCCCACTTACATAAGGATGTTTTATGTGGGCCTGATAAGTCTAAATTTTATCTCAAAACAATTATTGTTGCTCAACAGCTGAAAACAGTGCACTAACGGCATAATCATTGATCAAATGTATGTAGAAATTTCATTTCAACGAACATATTTTTTGCTACAATCGTTCGTCTTGTAATTAGCGATGATCATCTTGTTAACTAACCTAACCATCCAATTATGGATTAATATTTCTCACATTCACCAGGAATACCCTTCAGTTAACAGTCAGCGGAGTGAATCTGAAAAACAATTCGACACCGCGTGGCATCTGTCTCGAATTTGCCACGTTCCATTACTCTCCATGAAACGTCGCCCGGAAAATGATTTATTATTGGGGGTCGGTAATGTAGAGCGCCCGGCTCCTCAACCGGACCGAGTGGTATCATTTATTTTCGTCACGTGACGTCAGCCCAATAGCTGCTTAATAGATTTTTGCTAACGATACGCCCCACAGCTCGAACAATAGAGAGGAAAAAGGAAACACTAGGTTATAAGTAGGCAATAATACGGTGTCACAATTTTCACTTTCACACAGCTAAATTTATAGTTTTACTTCTGAAAGATTTCATCATCATCACGATCATTCTCATCATAGTCGTCGTCATCATCACGATCAACATATTGATCTTGATGATCTAATCATCACTATCATGAACATTTTCATCAGAATCGTCGTCGTCATCGGCATCGTCATCACCAGTACCACCATCATCATCATTAATACCACCACCACCACCACCACCACCACCATCATCATTATCATTGTCATCATCATCATTGTCACCACCGTCGTCAGAATCATCTTCATGAAGAAATTATTTTAATTATATCTACATCAAGAAAAATGTGGAAAACTTCTATTCGATTGTATTACCCGGCTTGTACAACATTTATCCACGTATTGAATAAATGTGTGTATTAGACTTGTACAAAGTAAATTAGAAGAATCGTAGGCAGTAGCTATTTTAAAACAAACATAGATAATTAAAAAGTCTTTTATGTGAGCTCGCTGGGTAGACCCTGTTTTATCAAAGGCCAAAAACATTTCAGTTGCACTGCAAAAAATCTCCATTCATTATTACTTCGCCTGGTCATGTATGAAACGATCCTCTGCTATATATACACAAAAATTTTAATGAATAGAAACAAATCAAACAGACTCTTGTTTGCTTTGAAGACATTGGGCAAGTAAATTTCTCTATCTAGTTCACTAAACGTATATAATGAATAGTATCATGTTAGTGATTTTAACGAGTGAATATAGAATTTTTAAACAGAAAATTAACTACATACCAATTATTACATAAGCCTGAATCTAAAATTAGATTTCTTTTGTTAAAGCCTTATTAATTACTTTTGCTTACTGAGAAATTAAGGAATAAAAAAGATAATAACAAAGAAAAATATAGAATAATTTAAGAAGCAAAGACAATGAAGGAGAAAAAAAGCTTGAATGGGATGAAATCAATAAGGAAATTAAATCAAGGCAGACCAGAAACAATGTAATCATAACAGTGAAAAAAAAAGGAAAAGTGTTTTGAAGATCATCGAAAGAAAATATAAACAGAAGTTAAAAAAATTCTTCCTAGTTTATCAAGGCAAATACTAAAGTCAAAATAATAAGAAGTCAACGCTTTACGTTAAAAACACAGGCAATTATTAGTTCATTCAAAAGATTTATACATACAGGGTGGTCCGTTTCTCATGGCTCACCATTGGCATTTGGGAAACCGTAAGATATACAGATCAAAGGGAAACTATTAGAAGATATGGTCAATTATATCCAGAAAGACACCAGCCTCATCAAACGGTGTTTTTAAACGTGTATAGAAATATGCTAGAATTTGGAAAGATCGCTATTTTCAGTTTTCTCACAATATTTGAGGAACGGCAGTAGATATCTTTGATTTGTCTGGTTTATTTTAATGACCCCGAAAAGGCACAACTTTTTCTAATTCGAGCGACCCTGTATATGTTACGGTTTTCCAGATGCTAATGGTGAGTCATGAAAAACGGACCACCCTATATACGTTGCTGTGCTTGCTCTTGCTGTTTGTTTTTTTTTGTAAAGATTAATTCATTTTGAAATTTTATTTTATATACCGAACCGATTTTGAACTGATATTGCAGGAAACAACTGCTCTGTGGACTACATGCCTCGACCAACATTGAATCTAGTAAATCGCTACGATTATTTTGATTTAAACTTCAGTTATTTTTGTCGCGTATTACTGAAACACTAACATAGACACTTATATTTCACCAAAATTGACCATTATAGAAGTGAATTACGCCCTAAAGAAACCATTGACACCAACAAAACGTCCGTTTGATTGAATAAGCCGTGAATAAGTAAGGCATTTAACGCTCTATCGATTCCCATCTATCTGAATTAATTTTTTTCACCCGCATCAATGTCGGCGGTGAGGAAATAGCGCAATCAAACAAAAATCTAACCGAAATAAAAGAAACGTTCAAGTTCATTGAACAAAAAACTCACTCAGTGTCAAACAGCAGATTGTTTCAACGGCCAACGTCGTTTGCTGGGTTGCAGCATCGCAATCTTTTTGTTAACTATACCAGGAATTTGACATTGCTTTCAGCCACCGCAATTACTTACATTGTAATTAAATAATTGTTGTCGCAAAGGATATAACCGCGAGAGATATTGTTTTTCTAAGAAAAAGTCCCATGTTATTATTTTTTGTGGATCAGGCAGCTCTAGATTTGCAGACAGCGGAAAATTGACGAGCGGTCTAAAAACAAATGAGTAAACGTCACAATTAATCTCCGTTTATAAATAGGAAACCTTGGTCTGTAATATGATGCGTTTTGTACTATACAAAAATAGTTCCAAGTCCAAATTAAATACAGAAATCTGCACCGCTTCCAAACTATAAGCA